GTCTCGGCTTAAAGCATCTTCTTGAGTTGCGTGTGTAAGACACGGCTCTGCCTTCTAGACTTCCTTTCCCCGCGCGGACAGCATGTCTCGCGCCCTCATTTACGAGCCACGCCTCTAGCGTTTCTGAGGGTCGTGCCCGTGTGTTGTAAGCTTCCTAGCACTGCCAGGCCATGCAGCCATTCTTTGCAGCTCGCTGCGAGGAAGCCGCGGAAATTTTGGGTGAGGCACAAACAAAAGGCGGGCACTCTTCCCCAGCAACGCCGTCAGTGAGTGCACGTATGCAGGTTTGAGTGTTTGCACAGGACACGCGTACAACGGTGGCGATAACTACCACCTGCACCCAGACGGCATGGGGCCGTTCTATGCTGCCCTTGCTGACTTTTTGACAGGCGGCCACGACCGTGGATGTTTCTTGTTTCCGTGGTTTTGTTTTCGGCGGAGGTTCTCCTTAGGTCTTTCCTGTGTGTCTGTGCTGCCGGTCACCTCAGGGCGCGGAGTTTGTCGCCGCCACTAGCCGCGGGCCAAGTGGGCCAAGCATTGGAGCAGCTGAATGCTCAGGGAGGTGTGCCAGGTGCACGTCCCCCCATGCCACCCCCACCCATGCCGCCTGCCGGCGTGCCTCCGGATTCCCACCAGCCAATGACGGCCCAACCACAGGCAATGACGTGCAATCGGTGCAAGCAAATCTCCTACATCCACAACAACATGTGCATGGATGAAAGTACATGTATATATATGTGTATGTATATGTGTAGTTATAATATATATATATATATAGATATATATAGATATAGATGAAAGTGCGTTGTGTATATGTGTGTATATATATATATATATATACGTGTATATATATATATATATATATATATATATATATATATACGCACATTATCTCTCTCTATGTATATATATATATATATATATATATATACATATTTTGTGGTTTCGGCTTAAGTCTTTTAGGGTTTAGGTAGGGTTTAGGGCTAGGTATACACAGACACACACACACACACACACACCCACAAACACACACATATATATGTATATATATACATGTACATGTATTTATATATAATATACCCAACACATGCACCCGAAACAGTGAAACCTAAACCCTGAACCCTAAAACCTGAACCCTGAAACTTAAACCTTGAAACTTAAAGCCTAGCCTAAAAGGATCATTAATTAAACCCTCAAAGATATCCACTAAGGAACTTTCAGTATGGAACCAAAAACCCGAAGACATTGGGCGGCAGATGCTCTCGTGGGCCGGCAAAGATTCGGCATGGCAAGACAAGAGCTTGGCAAAGAAGATCGTGAACGCCCGCTGGAGTTCCAATCGCAGCCGGGGCACAAAGGGGAAACAACACCAGGCCTGGTGGCGTTCGAAGACGGCGAGCCAGAGGCATTGGATCAAGCAGCAGCAGAAGAAGACGAAGGGCTGGTGGGAGAAGGGCACCGACGATAAGAAGGACCAGGGCACCGACAATAACAAGAAGGTCAAGGTGAAGGGTGGCCACAATAAAATGTGGGTTGGTACCGACCCGATTGATGTTGAAGAAGATCTCGACGAGGAGGAAGAAGACGATGAAGAGGTTCCCTCGCCTTCTATCCCGGATAAGAATTTCCAGGACAAGGGCCCTGGCCCTGATGGCAACGACGGCGATCGCCCAATCCTAGGACCCAGCGAATGGGTGATCTAGCTAGCTTCGCGATGACAGAGTGCTGCAGTGTCAAAAAAGGAGCACACCCGAGCTCCTGAAGAGGAGCTTAAGCTGCAGCTCCTAGGACTGTGCCATTTAGTTGCTTAAAATGCTTGCCAGGATCTTGATCCTTCGATGTGGACGAAGACAAGACCCTGCTACGATTGGCAGAGAAGGGTGTGTTTTTTCGAGGGCTGGGGTCAGTTCAAGTCTCTTGCTTGTGAAAAACAGCACATGCCTCGATCGACTTTGATTTTCGACTTTGGTGGCAGGACCCAGCTGCGTGGAGCACCAGACCATGCAGCAACGAGGCCTTTGCACTTTTGGTGGTTGTGGTTCGATATTAGAAAGTTCACCCCCATAAACCCTTAAACCCTCAAACCCTCAACCCCTAAACCCTTAAACCCTGAACCCCTAAACCCTTAAACCGCTAAACCCCTAAACCCTGAACCCCAGGGGCTCAAAGCCCCTGAACCCCTAGAGGAGTCGGGAACGAAAGAGTCCCACATGTGTTGCCGTCTGCAGCAGCTGCAGACTTGAGAATATATATCCTAGGCCGGGTTACGGGTTCAGGGTTTGGGGGCCTAGACCTTATATTTTAGGGTTGTCGTGTGTAGCTTGTCGATATTGAGAAGTTCGGCCGGTAAGCTTCTCAAGCCTTATATCCTAATGCCCTAAACGGGTACCCTAGAAGCCCTTAACCCAAACCTATATCACAAAACCGCTGAACCCTAAACCTCCTAGCCTTCAACCCTTGGACCCCTAAACCCTCAACCCTAGAATCCCCAAACCCTCAGTCACTTGTTGCCTGCTGCTGCAGCTGCATAGATCTCGAGAGTTGATCCTTCCGTTGCTTAAGTACAGCGAGAGCCATGCCTGGACAGGACACGGTTTGCAGGTTGACACTATGAACGGTTTGTTGAAATTCTGATCTATGTATACTGTGTGCAGGACAGCCAGCAAGATCGTTCCAGGTCACCGCCATTGAAAGAAGGTGGAAATGGTGCTGGAAATCCTGTCAGTGGGGTGGGCAAACGACATTCAAGCCTAATTCATTTTCTTGTCACATATACATGCAATGGCTGTGTAGGAGCGACCTCCTTCTGTGAAAGCATAAGGATCTGGTACTGGGTGTGGTGGCTTTCCGAAGACTGAGTACCATCGTGACGAAGACCGTAAGCGGCCACCGGCCACTGTGTGCAGCTGGAATTCATATTGCACCGACGTGCCTCTGATAATAGCTTCTTTTTGGTGCTGCGAGAAGACAAAGTGTGCTTGCCAGCAGCACTAGTAGACACACTATAGCAGCAGCACCACCAGCACCAATACGGCCACCCACGGCCAGCACCCTGAAGAAGAGCAACTCGCAGGACAACCAACACAAGAAGCAAGCAGCAGCACTTCCACCAGACAGCAACACGGACACCAACAACAGACAGCACGATTGCTAGCAGCAACACCGTCACGAACCGCTGGCACCAACAGCAACACCAGAACAACCAGGAGCACCTTAGGGTTTAGGCTTCGGGCGTTGGGTTCATGGTTCAGGCTACTCGTACCGTGTCCATTCAGGATCTTGAGAAATTCCTTCTTGCTCCTTTTGGGGCACCTCTGCCCTTGAGCCCTTAAACCCTTAAGCCCCTAAACCCTTAAGCTGCTAAACCCTTAAGCCCCTCAGCACTACAGCTAAAATCCCTACCCCAGAATCCTGGAACGACCAAGCCCTGAGCCCAGGCGTGGCGGCGAGGCTGGTACCACTGCCCTGGTACTGTTGCTCACCAGGTGGCTTTCCTAGTTGCTTTTGGCAAGTGCAAGCCTGCTACCTTAGGCCGAGAGACAGGAGCTTTGGCTCCTCTATGATTCAGATGAGGATTTTAGCTCAGTGGTCTAGATGTTCAGAGATCCATGGGGCAGGGGTTAGGGGGAGGGTTTACGGTCCGGGGTTGTTGGGATAATGTTTCTCTATCTCTAGGTGGTGCCTTGCAGGGCTGGATAATGGTGTGTTTCGGTCGTGTGAGATTCAGGAGCAGCTGTGCTCCTTTAAAGGTTAAGACTAGGAGTTGTTGCACTGGCCTGTGCTTGTTGTTTTTTGTGGAAGAGTTAAACATTGGTTAAATTTAACTTTCCTTTAACCTGGATTTAACCTTCCTGGAAGATTCTATCTAAAGGAAGTGCAAGGTTAAATGAAAGTTAAATAGAGGTTAAATTTAACCTTTGTTTAACCTGCGTGGTTTGCCATGGCCAGGCTTGCTGGTCCTGCTGAACCCAAAGTTGCTTTGTGCAGCCGACAGGCCAGTGCCAGGGTGAGGGCATTAAGATGTATAGTTTGGAGCCACAGAGCCAACAGGGACACTAGCCTTGGCTGCACGGCTGCAGACAGTGGGGCCATCGCCAGCAGCAGCAAGGGACCAAACATAGCTGTTAGTAGCAGACCATAGAGGAATAGCACCAGCGGCACCACCACTAGTACCCACAGCCGAAAAGCAAGTAACATGAGCACAGTTACCACCAACAACACCAGCAGTGGCAGCAGCAATCCTACGGGAACCACTAGCACAGCGGCAGCACCAGCAACCACCAATAACACAAGCAGCAACCTCTAAACTCTTACACCCCTCAACCCTAACCCTCCCGACCCTGCAACCTAGCCTAAATCCCTCCACCCCTAAACCCTTAAGCCTAAGCGAGTAAACCTATAAACCCCTAAATCCCTAAGCCCCTGAAGCCCTAATGCCCTAAACCTCTTAGCCCTAAACCCGTGGCCCAGGTGTGTGGCGAGGCTGGTGCCGGTGCCTTGGTCCTGTGGTTGTTTGCTTCTTGGTTTTGGCCTTCTGCAGAAAGACAGGAGCACTCGCTCCTCCAACACTCTGTTAAGTCTTGCTTAGCAAGAGATAGGAGCATGTGCTCCTATGTACAATATAGCAAAACCCTGGAACCTAGAACCCTATCTTCTTAAATCCTCTACACCACAGAACTGGGAAGCTAAGACCCCAAATCCCGAACCCCACTGAGGCCCAAACCCAAACCCTAATCCCAAAGACCCGTCAGGATGTGCACATCACCCTTGTATCTTTCTCCTGAATCGTTGCGGTCCTGGCAGCTGTGTGCTGCTCCACATCGCCTAGATCCACCTTTGCTTTTGTTTGCCATGGCACCCAAGGGTAAGCCTGCTGCCGCCAAGGGCAAAGCCGCTGCCAAGGCAGCCGCCGAGGCCAAGGCTGCTGCTGCAGCGAAGAAGGGCCAGCAATCCAACATGGTCACTCAGCTCAAGCAGGCGAAGAAAAATTGGATCAGGCGATGATCACGGGCGAGGAGCTCGACCCCGACGTGAAGAAGTGCCTCGAGCACAAGGCCGCCTTCCTGTCCGAGTACAACAGCTTGGGCCTTTTTGACGGCAAGAAGCAACAGATGCTTGAGATGTGGAAGACGGACAAGAGCTTGAAGCAGTGGGCAGAGTCGAAAACAACCCACTCCTCGTCGACGAGTGTCACCCAGGAGAAGCTGGAGAACTACGGTACCAAGCTGCTAGGTGTTTTCGTATGTGGTTGTAGTTTTGAAAAGTTCTGGGGAGGGCAAAGCTGTTGAGTCATGTGTGCCTGTTGTCGTGTAGCCCCGGTGCTTGCCTGCGAAATTTTGCTGTGTGGCTTACTTAGTAACAGAGACCTCTGGAAAGAGATAGGAGCATTTGCTCCTCCGATATATATAGGAGCATCTGCTCCTGAAACAAGCAATCCAAGAACACTTGAACCTTTAAGCCCCTAGAACCTTTCATCCTAAACCCCTATCCCCATTGAACCCCAAACTCTGAAGCAAACGACCCTAAACCGGGAGATCCGAAATAAATTCCTTGATGTCATCAGCACTAAAACTAGAACCTGAATATATTAAGGACTCGTGTGTCTATACACATGTGAGGTTCGATGTGGCCAAGCTCCTGAATTTGGATCCGGACTCGAAGGAGCAAAGCAAGATTTTGAATGCGGTCCGACACGACCTACCTCAAGATGATGCATGGGACGAAAGCAACCCCATGGAAAAATGCTTCAAGCAGATGAACATGATTCGCTACACCTTCTCCAAGAACTTGGGTGTCTCTACCAAGCGTGGCAAGGAAGAAGTTGATTCTTTCGTTCACACAAGGGACGTTTGTGGCAAAAAGCTCAAGCAAATGCTCGAAGATGGCGGCTCCGGCGGCTCGGGCGGCTCGAGCGGGGACCCAGCGGTCAAGCTGGAGCACGTGTGGATTCTGCCAGCCCAGGAGAAGCACAAAGAGATCGTGCTAGCTCTGAAGACAGTGAAGACTCTGTGAATCATTTCAAGAGATTTAAAGCCGTGCAAGAAAAGTCTGGAGAGGATGCCCTGGCAAGTCTCACCAAGGGTTTCAGCATGTTAGAGGCGTTGGAAGCTGATCTGCTAAAGCTACAATTGGCGAACGTTTCGCAACTCGCTGAGGAAGAGTGCAAGGCATGGGTGCTGCAGTTGACCTACTTGCTCATTATGAGAATATCAAGAGGGTTGCAGAGCAGAGCAAAAAAGATCTTGCAAAAATGTTCCCAGAGTCGAAGGCGGCCTCGCGAAGCTAGCACGTCGATCGTTTTCAGATGCAGCCGACAAGTGCTAAGCCATGTTGTCGTTTTGGGTTGCATGCAACAGGTCATCATGATCATATGTTGCACCGCTGGATCTAGAGCACCGCCGCCGGCTGCACAAAAAGATGCGAGAGTGCATGCTATGCGAAGGTTTTTAGCAAGTGCATCAAATGTGCTTGCATGCAGCAGCTTTTGCATCGATCATTGCGACGGATCGATAGAATGCAACTTGTACCCTCTATGGGTTTGGCAGAATTAGGACAGTGAGTGAAATAAGACTAAGCCGATATAGAATGAGATTCTAACACAAGTTTTAATCTGGGCCTAGCAAATTATTGTTTCCATCGATTCTAGCCTCAGCTTTCGATCGAGAAGCGACAGCTATATAGGTGCTTAAGCACCTATGTACAGACATATCTACAGCACACAGATATAGTTTACATATATAGATCGACATGCGTTAGATCGATAGTATACGTATACATCTATATATATATATATACACATACATACATGTACTTACACATGCATGCATACATATAACATAACAAGACATACACAGGGGCAGTGCAGCCCCTCTTCAGCAAAGATGGTTTTATTCATCGCTCGAGCCCTGGCTTTGCTGATATTTTTCATTTCTGCTATCACGGGCGAGGCTGTTCGCGGCGATAAGGAACCTCTGCCCACTCTCAAGCGGCAGAGTGAGGCGAAGTCGTCGGCTGCAAAAGCCAAGGCGGCTAAGGTTTCGGAATCAACATCTTCTGAAGCAAGGCCTCCATCGCTGAGGAAAAAAGTTGGCGAGACCTTCCTACATAATAAGCTGTCTGCAAAAGATATTTTTGAGATATCCCAATCTGCTGCGGCAGAAGCAGGCAGTTCCAGCTCTGTGAATAATTTTGCAGCGGCAGGTGCCGGAGGCCGGCAACCTGGAAATTTTGCGAGGGATTTGCTCAGGAGCCTTTGCAGGGGAGCTCCTTTGGAACTTTTCTGGTATGACATTCCTTTTTGGGATCCTGCAAGTGACTCAGAGATTGTACAACCTCATCATCCATTTTTGCTTCCTCACGAAGTTATACATCATCTGGTTCATCAACAAGGTTTGAAGTCTTTCGTCGTTAAAGCAGCCCAGCGTGCTGCGAGAGCCCAGCTTATCAAACAGTGCGACAAATTTGGTTTGGACCCAGATGAGACCATCAGCATTGGGATGCATGGTGATGGAGTACCTTACACGAAAAAGGAGTCCCTGGAGATTCTCAGCTTCAACTTGTTGGCGAATCCTACTGGGGATAGAGTTCCGATCACCGCCGTTTCCAAGAAGTGGGCTACCCAGAAGACTTGGGAGTGCTTGCTGAACGTGATTACCTGGAGTTTGCGGATGCTGTTCCTGAAACAGGTCTCCAAGGTTTTGCCCGATGGCAAGCCGTGGAAACATCGGCGAAAGGTGACTGGGCAGTTGCCCGGCTGCCTCTTGCTGCAGTGTAGGGGGGACTGGCCGTTTTTGCGATCCCTGTTTTATTTTCCTGCGTGGAATTCTCAACAAATCTGCTGGAAATGCTCTGCAAGCCAAGAAGGGCCTCACAGCTACAAAAACACAGGTGCAGATGCTTTGTGGCGGAAGCACAGGGTAAGCGACCATGAATTGTTGAGATCTTTGCGGGAACAAAACGTTTTCGTTTGCCCGCTGTTGAGTTTACCAGGGTTCGAGGTCTCTTGCATATTATTAGATTGGCTCCACGTGGTGGACTTGGGCTGTGGAGCGGATGCTATCGGGAACTTATTTTGGCATTTGATTGCAGAGCCAGGTTTTTATCCAGGAACTTCCAGGGAGGCTCGATTGAAACAACTTTGGGCTCGCTTGAGGACGTGGTATCAAAGGCACAAGCCTGCGTCTGTCCTGGACAATCTGACTGTGGAAATGGTGCGAAGATCCAAAGCGACTAGCAAGCCGAAGTTGAAAGCTAAGGGTGCCGAATGTCGCTATCTAGTCCCGTTCTGTCATGAATTGGCAACCGAGATAGCAGAGGGCAATCCGGAGGACCACGTCATGCAAACAATTGCAGGCCTTTTTAGTCATTTGGTTGCTTTGCAGCAATGGGTTGCAGGGAGCCTGGGAGCCTACGACTTCAACAAGGCATCTGAGGAGTGCAGACGTTTTTGTGTCTTGTATGGGAGCTTGCAGTCCCAGGCGACGTTTCCACTGTGGCATTTCAAGCCCAAGATGCATCTGTTGCAAGAGATGGTCGAGTATCAGAGCGAGGAGCACGGGAATCCCCGAGAGTTCTGGTGCTACCGGGGTGAGTCCTGGTGCGGCTTTTGGGCGAAAGCCAGCAAAAGGCGTGGTGGCCACAACACCCCTGCTACTACTGCTCGTACTTTTTTGTTGCGGTACTTAGCCTTGGAGAAGCTTGCCGCAGAAGACTGAAAACTTCGCCCGCCTTGAGGAGCAATCGTGCTGCCTCTGCTCCTGTTCATGCTGAGGGTCGCACTATATTATAATCAATTAATATATATATATATATATATATATATATATATAATGCTATATATATATATATATATAATGCTATATATATATATATATATATACATATATATATATATATATATTGCACATAATGGCCCCCTTAATTTTTCTATTATTTCAATTTGAACTTTCTGTTGCCTTATAAGGCAACAGAAAGTTCAAATTAAAATAGTAGAATAAGTGCCTTCAGCACCTTCTCAGAATCGATTTGCAGCCAGGTGTGTCAGGAGCAGTTTGCTCCTGCAGCAGTGCATGTCTAGGATCGATGGATCATGCCGTTTTTTATTTGCCGCAGCCGTATATCTCCAAATGCCATCCTTCCGCAGCCATGGCTAAAGTGGTGCTGCTGTCTAAGCTGGACCCCAAGGGCAACAAGGGTGCATGGCTTAGGCTGAAGGAGGACGAACTGGCGAGAACCAGAGAAGAACTCTTGTACCACTTCGGCTGCTCTGTGCTGGACGGTGTGCACGAGACCGGTAGCAGCTTCCACAAGTACGAGGAAGTTTGGTTTGTTGTGGAGAAACCGTTAGTCGACCACGGCTTGGACAACAGTGCGGTAGCACTACAGGTCTGGGATGTACAGATGCAAAAGCATGTCAGTTTCGCTTTCAAGTATGAGAGCTCCGCCGACCTTCATAGCTTGGACTAAAAATGTGCCTTGCTGTGCATGTTGCAGTCTTTGCATGTCTATTCGGTGTATATAAGTTTATAATTCTATTTTTTTGATGCACGTATTGCATGAAATCTTATGGTATATATATATATATAGACACACAAATCATATATATATATATGTATATGTATATATATATATATATTTATAAATATATATATTTATATATTTATTTTTATATACATATATATATATATATGTTCTATATATATATATATATATATATAACATACATCATATACTGCATGCATATCTATGATTATATACATGCATGTACATGTGCATATACATATATATTAAACATATATGTATATATGCACACACACACATGCATATATATATATATATATATATATACACATGCATGCACATTTTTTACATATATATACACATACACACATACACAAACCCACACACACACACACACATATATATATATATATATATATATATATATACATACATATACATACATGCATACATGCCGGCATATGTATCCACATACAAATAAAACTATATATATATATATATATATATATATATATACATATATATATATATATATATATATATTGTTTTGATAGATAGATAGATAGATAGATAGACCCCCGCTGGTAAGTACATTTTTTTCGTGGAAAATACTTTCCGGCCGGTTTTTGTCTTCTTTCTTTGGGTCCTATCAGAGCGCTCCTGTACGTGCCCTCTCCGCTTTTGCAGGACTTCGCCTGGTACAATGTGGAAGTGAAGGTCCTGGATGTTGTACCATCCCAGGACATACGGCCAACGCAGTCGCCGTGACTGCACATGCACATTCGGGTTTATTGAGGGGGGGGTATGCTCATAAAAGAATGCACACGTAGAATCTCTGCGTCGCTGTGCCTTGAGAACCGCTGTGCGCGTCTTGGTGATTGCAGTGACGCTTCCAAGCAGTCAGTGTCTACCTGTGCCACTTTGCTTGGCTCCGGAGAAGCCTCTAGTGCGTTAAGTTAGGAGGCACCATCTGCGTTCGTTGTTCGGTGTTTTTGCATGATGCATGATGACTCTGCTGCGCCGTTCTTCTGTTGCTTGCCGCGTCGCCTGCAGATACAGAACCGCGCCGAGGCAGGGTAGTCCAGTAAACCTGTGCCGCCGCCTGGCCGTGCACTCTATGCTCGCAGGCTGGCTGTCTGATATGCCTGAAATGGCTGCCTGATCCTAAGCTCCTTTGTTCTGAGACACGTCTGTTGTTCGCATCATGCGTCCGGAGCTCTCGTGGGACATGCACTGTGTCGTTTGCGTCTAGGCACAGCAGGACAGAGTGAGTAGAGGTCTCGTACCTCCAGCATGCACCTACTGCACTTTAAAGAACACGCACTGCAGTCGTGTCCTGTCTTCTCTTGGGTGTTTGTTCTTGTGCGGTTGTGGCTGCATTTTTTTCGGCTCACAGTGTCGTTTCTGCTAGCACGTGTGTGCAAGACGCGCGTCGCATATCTCGTGCTATTAATCCCGCTCTCTCTCATGGCTCGCTGGGCGGACATGACCGACGAGACACTCGAGGCTGCGTGTGTGCTCTCGCGCATGTCTTCATCCGGAGCGTCTTCCGTGTGCTGTCCTGCATCTTGCAAGGTTTCGCCTTGGAACTGGCCTGTCTTTCGCCGCAACTATATGCAAGCGTTCTGCAAGCTTACAGTGTCTACTCCGGCGAGCACCCTAGATGTCATCTTGGCAGACCTAGATAGAGGGATGCTGTCTTTCCTGTTCTCTTCAGATTGGTTTCATCTCCGTGGACCTGCGACCCTTGCCTCGCAGCGTTCCTCGGAACAGCCAGGCTGGTCGTTGTGTCTAGTGCTACGTCGCTAGGTGCTCCTAAATAAAACGTGCTTTGTTTCTCTTCTCTTACTGCGGAGACTCCGTCTGTACGTCTCTACAGCTCTCTGTGTTTTGTCTTCATACCTGAGCAGGAGCTGCCCGCGCAGCGGCGAGATCGCTCGCCCGCCCCCCGCGCACGAAGGACAGCAAAGCAGCCAAAGGCGGAATATCTCGCGTCGACGCGGCTTCTTTCCTTCAGTTTTGCGGGCACATGGCGTCTTGTACTTGTTTGCACAGGTGTTGCCGACAGCTTGGACGGCCGCGGACGACGCTGCTCTTGAGGAAGCCTGGTTCCTAGCTGAGGCAGAACGAGCGGCACTCGCAGCGGAGGCTGCTTCTCTGCCACAATTGTTTTGTTCATCTGCGGACTAACTTCTTCGCGGTAAAACCTCCCTGTGTCGCAGGTGCAAGATAGCACCGGGAGATGCAACGCGACGACAACTCCACTGACCGCGCGCAGTGCCCTGGCGCAGGCTGAATCAGCGTGTCAACTGGCCCTGCACTCTTTGAGTTTGCAACCCTTGCCTTTTTTTGGGGCACAGGCGGCAGCGCAGCAAGACACGTGGAATTGGCGACATGTGCATGTTCTACTTCGTCTTCTGGCAACGAACCGAACATGGACACTTGCAGCGAAGGACAGACATGGGAAGGCTGCCTCAAGCAGCCTCCCAGGCTTCGCGTGCTTGTCTTTGCTGCATTGTGCTCTAGATCCTTGGGTTTGCGCCATCTGCTTGATGCCTCTGCGGATTTGTAACATCCTGCAAATCGTGCTTTCCAGTGACCCGCATGCACGATCCCTCTTCAGGAGCGTAACAGACTGGCGCATGCACTTCTCGGCAATACGCCAGGCTGCAGCTGCTCGGTGCGTTTCAGAACTTCGGACTAGACGTGCTCTGTGCTTTGACTCGACACTACAACGTAGCTTCACAAGAGATATCCTTGATGCACTCTAGCCTAGCTGTCTTGCAAACCCGTAAGGCCCAGCCGGCGGCCGCGAGCACCTCGCTGTCCTTGATTATCCGCTGCCGCGGGGCACATTCCCTAATCCTAGTGGCAACACGTGCTGGATCGCAGCGGCACTGCAAGCTCTGCTTCACTGCGAAGCGTTACTACCGTTCATTCAAGAGCACGCGCGTAACCACAGGCCAGTCGCGTGTCCTCTCTGCTTCTTGCGTGCAGTGGAGCTAGCGACTCGCCAGAAGGGCAGTACTGCGGATGGCTGAGCCGTACCTGGGAAGCATCGATCGCACCGCCGACCGGCAGGACGACGCTGCAGAGCTAGTGCTACGGCTCTGTGCTGACCTAGCTGCGAGCAAGGAAGTTCTGGATTTTGCCAGCCACAGCACACGGCGTGGAGTTAACCAGCTTGTGGACAACTGAGACGTTCTGTTTGCACTGTCAGCATGCAGGGAGACAGCTGTCCCGCAGTATCACTGGGATCTACACCCCTCCGACAAAGCTTGCAGTGTCAGCAGCCTGCTTAGCAGCCAGGACTTCGAGGAAGTGACAGACGCTGTGACGCCTTTTGCAGTGTCTGTGGGGAGCGCCGCACCCGGCGGCAGGGACAGATGCTGGGGGTCGGGCAGGTTCTCTTACTGCGTGTTGTGCGGGAGCGCTGGTCGAGTGCTCGCAACAAGTTTGACCAGATGGATGCACGGCCCGTGGTCCCGGAGCCTGTTCTCACGTTGCACCAGCGCACTTATCGTCTGCGGGCGGTTCTAGTGCACCGCGGATATGATCCTAGATCCGGCCATTACCTTTGTGCAGTGCCTTTGGACACGGACAACAACCAGTGGCGATTCTACAACGACGGCGTCTGTGTGCTTAAAGCACGGCCAGGGGCGGTGCACACCGCCTCTCGCTTGCCCGTGTATGAGTGCATCGACTCCGCCGCCAACATACCGGCTGCACAGCCAACGCCGCCGACGCCACAGGCACGCTGCTGCAGACTTAACCTTGCTCTGACTTGCTTGGGTCTCTGGCTGTGTTCTGTGGCCATGCACCAACTAGTTCTGTGAGGTTTCCGAGGCTGCTGCCGTCGAACCTCCCACGTCTCAAACAGACAAGCAGGACATGTTGCATGGAATGCCGGAGGTGCAGGCACGCAACCTTTACATGAGTCTTGCGTTAGTTGCTTTCTTCAACGTGGTGGGGGTGTTTTTTTTTTCAGGTACAAGCTCCAATGGCAGCCATTCCTGTGAACTCCGCGAATGAGGCGCTCAACAGCGGAGGGTGCGATGCGCCGCCTTCACAGGCGGGATGCGTGTGTCATCTTCTTTCCCCTGCGACTGTACCTCCGTGGGAGCCTGTTGGGAAATCAGGCGTCCGTTGCTCCCTGCGCAAGTCTGACGGCTACCTGGGAACTGCGTTCTACGAGCGCCGTCACGGCCGGGCTTTGACTATATCTGCGTTTAACTTGCTGGCATGTTTCGGGCTGTCTGCTGCAACACCTGTACAGGAAATCGACCTGCTGGACTCGGACGTCGAGGCACGGAGTTGGACTGCTACTCCCGGCGAAGTTTGTGCAGAAGCTGCAGTCTAGCGACTCTCGCCGCTGTTACGTCCTGTGCGCGAGGTCGCCGCGGAAGCTTCAAGTGTTCTCCCGGAGCTCATGTCCGTGCACGTGCCTTTGCAGATGCTGCCAGCAAGCCCACAGGCACGGAACTTCAAGACATGTCGGCGTGAGCCTTGTAAGCCACCTCCCTGTTGCTCTCTCGTGTCGAGGAAGCAGAGGTCCAGGCAGCGGCCCTCAGTTCGAGCCCTCGAACCCAGCCAGAAGCGAAAGCCTTCTCTATGTCACGACAGGCGCGGCGACATTTGCCTGCGGCCCCTTGCGTTTTGCTGCTTGTGTCAGGACGATGCTACCCTCCCCATCCTCTAGCAAACTTTCCTCGCGGCGCTGCAGCCGAGGCCCGCTGTGCGTTTTTTTTACATGGTTCCAGTGTGGATGTACTGAACTGCTGTGGCTCTGCTGAGGAAGTTCCTGTGCCTGTACCTGCTGAAGATACTGTGCCTGAGCAGCGCGCAGAGCCGGAGGCTGCGGCCTCTCGGCCAGAGGCCTGCAGAGACTCCGACGGTTGTGCCTGGTATAGTCTTTTCGGCTGTGTTGTGTTGTGTAGCACACACTTGTTTGTGCGAAGTGACAACATATTATCTCACTTGATCACCGAATCGGTCAGGGGATTAACTCACCGATTCAATTCGAACGATTGTATATTCCGTGGCCATTTTGGCGAAAAGCTGTTCCAGCTTGAGAGAAATTTTGTTTCAATCCCCTCGGATCACTCCTCGGTCATAGCCGCTTCGGGCGGCCAGTACCCCGAGTCCTACTACGACCGCTGCTGGCGGCCAGTACCTCGAACACTACGGCTTCTCTGTCAGTTGTTGACAGTTTGAAGGAATCGCTTGAGGAATTCAGCCGCGAGCAAGTTCTCGAAGATTTTCAAGTCGAGAAACCCGAGGATGTGACGTGGGGAGCTTGGAACAAGCGACAATCCCGACAGATCAGAAAGGCCATCGATCATATCGCCCAGTGTCAGACGGCGAACGACATTGTCAACTTAGCGGCGACATTGCTGAAACCGCCCAACCTCGAGGCCTTCTTGTACCTGCACATTACCAACCGCGACGAGTCCGCGGAGCCGTTGACGGTGCCCTTCGAGATCGTCGAGGCTTCCCTACACCCCGACTCCGATCATGCACCTCTACCGGCTGACACCGATGCTGCTCTTCTTGTGCATGAGACCGATCTGCATAATCAGCATTTGGCAGACATTTTCCGTGATGATTTCGGCATTGAACTTCATAATCCCGAACCCGCTGCCTCTACAGCTCGAAAGAGAAACTTCGAGAGGCGCCTTAAGCCCTCTAACACGACATCTATCGACTTGGATTAGCAACTTCGAAGCCATGGCAGTTCCTCGATCTGATTCTTGGTTCGATTTTCTTTGCGAGGGCTCGACGCAGAATATCACTGCACCTGTGCCGAGTTCCATGCTCGCCGAGTTCCCCGAAAAGGTGCACGACCAAGCCCGAGTCCCTTTGTCTGCGATCAAACGACAGATTTGCCCCCGAATCCTCGATACCAAGAACTGTAACATGCACAACTGTGTCTACTTGCGCCCCGACTTCCTGAACAAGAAATGGGTGCTGCCTAATCTGATTTGCCACAAATGGTTCCAGGGATGCTGCGAGTACCACAACACTTGTTGGAACCAACACGGACATACCTTCGATGATGCCATGCGTCGAGCCGTCGTACTGCAAAGACAACTCCGACGCGGTGAGCCTCCGTATCACTATTCATCTCGAGGTGCTTTCCTCGAACAGGTGACCCGAGTACAGGCGCAAGAGTGGATCATGGACACCATGGCCACCTTTCGACACACCGAGATGCGCAAATTCAACTTCGGCACCAACTTCTCCAAGTACTACGACTTCGAGGCATGGGACACGTCTGCCGCTGCAGCCAAACTTCGACAAGAAATAGCAGATGGCAATCATCGAGGACGATCCCCTCGACGAGCTCGCGACGACTCACGACCCCCAGCAACATGGGGACAACCACCGACTCCACCACGAGGGAACATCTTCCCCACTTCGGGATCTCAATTTCCTCCGGCAGCTACACCGTCGGCGGCTCCTTCGAACCCTACACCATCGACGGCACCCTCGACAGCTTCTACGAGCACCACACCGAGACGACCATTCTTCCAGCTGAGCACGGACACGGACTCCGATGCCCCCAACTTTGGTCGATCCACCCGAGCTGCCTTCCGCCCCGGCGATGGAGCAGCTCGCGGTTCACAACGACCATTGTCACCGGCGAGATTCCCACGACGATCGACATCACCGGCCAAGAGATGGCTCGACAACACACCGATCATCGTCGAGGTCCCAGATGAGATTGCCGCCTCAACTCCAGCCCCGACACCGACGGCCCCGCCTACTACCACCACACAACAGACTCGACCGGCGTCTCCTGATCCTTGGCACGAAGACGACGACACCACAGAACCGCCGACTCCTCCTATGGCAGCCCCGACGACACCTCCGATCTCGACGCCTATGAGCACTCAGGTGACACAGCCGACGGACCCAGCGACCGCTACGGCGTCTAACAACCCGAGTGACTCCGAGTGGATCAACCCAGCCTTCGGTACACCGACTACTACGACCATCGTGGGGGCCAAGACAAAAGCCATGCCCAAAGTGGTGCCGCCGAGGTTCACGGTTCACCCGACAGTGGACCTCACACAACCGGACCCGAGACAGGTCCTTACACCGAACACGACCCAGGCTGGAGCTGCCTCCTCCTCGACGGTCGCGACATCAATGCAGAGTCCATACACGGGTGTACCGATCGCGGTTCAGCCACAGCCACCTCGACAGTCCTGCCTCGAGAGATTCCGAGTACAGTGGCTCGACACACAGGTGGTTGACAAGGGCAGGACGTCGATCGACGATGTCCGATCCAATCCATCGGTATCACACGAACCTGTGTTCGGATTCCAGACTTTGAGACACTTCGACAACTTCCCGATGATGTCCCCGAACTTACAGGCGATGACACCGGTGGGCGGACACAATGTCGCGATGCTTCCTCCAGGCAACCACCCGTACTCGTCCTTTGCCTTCGATTCCCCATGGGAAATCACATATGACGGCGTCATTTACCTCGAACAGGTTCTCCGATGCCCGACCTTCGGGAGCTATCTGACACAGTTTGGGCTGTACATCGACCTCCCGATTCATACCCCACAGGACGACACTCTCCAGGAGAGGGTCTTGCTCCTGGGTGTCCCGAACAACTTCGTCGACCCCCGGACTACACTGATCTACTCGATGGTCTGGCATAGCATGACGGCGTCCCTCTCCGACTTGAGTCATACATCGGTGGAGTACCGCATGCACCGACTTCGAATGTGGTGCCACACAGCCCACAACCTCAACCTCTTTTCCGCACAGATGCCGAACTTCGACCCGATGACGACCTTCTTTCGCGAACAAGCATCTGCGATCATCTCGTGTACTTCGAACATGCTAGCTCCGGCGATGCGGAGCGCTTTCGCCCAACACGAGAGAATGCGACCCATCATCGCCGCAGAGCCACCAGCCTTCATCCTACGATTTCGAGAAGGCTCTCGATCTTTCAACTAGACGCTCCCGAAGCCCACCGGTCTCACATGGTTACCCCGTTTCCGCCTCGGCGACGCACGGGAGTGTCCGGTGTCACCTCGATTTCGGGCTCTAGGGGGGAATTCCGCCTCGGCGACGTGTCCCACTCTACCCGATAGTCTACCTCGACTCTCGCTATGCCCACACGAGAACAAGAAGTGAAGCCCATTGCCCAGTACAACCACTTGTGTGTACCACAGGCTCTACTAGTTGTAGTGGGGCCTGCTCTCTCCTTGGAGATTGCTTGGCTTCCGTAGACTTCGACCTCTCAAGCCCTGTTTGTACTCCCGAACCTCCCGACCCACCCGACGCGATGGCCAGCCACCGTCAGACCTCGATGGACATTGATCCGATTGAACAGTTTCCCGAGGTTCCCACGACTGCACCCGATCCAATCGAGCAGTTCTCCCAAGCACCCGCGAGTAGCTCCGGGGCAGTTCTGCCGGCCGCGCGATACTTGGAGGGTGTTGACCCAGACACCGATGCGGTCCGTGCTCTCAAAATGCAACGAAGACTATACGACGATCAACACACCCAGGGAGCCCTCGAGGTAATCGCCTTTAAGCGAGCTTCCGAGAAGACCGCGATGGCATCCCTACGTCGACAGTTTCCTAACTCATCAGACGCCGAGCTCGCCACCATCTGGCGGCGACAATTGACCGGCGAGGAAGTCGACGATAACGGGATGCCCATCGAACTAATTGGTCGCGATGGGACTTCGATCGAGGATCAGCACAAGAGGGACGTCGATCGTGTCGAGAAGTACCTCCAGTACTTCAGCACCCCGAACACCGACAAGCTCCACGACGGCTCCCTCGATTGCACTTTCTGTGGCCTCCTCTTCCCCCCCTACTACCTCCTCTCGGTCAACCCCGATGGCGAAGACGACTGGCGCAACATACACTACCGATGTTGTTACCAGTGCGCGACAGGAGCCAACGAGGACTTTGTGTGGTACGCGGAGCACTCCGACCTCTCTCCGGCCAAAGTCGGGGTACGCGGTAATCTTCGAGATGCTCCCTACAACCAAATGGATCGCCGAAAGCTTTATGACCGCGACGATGACCACGAGACAAAGCCGCCGGGTTGGCACATCGCCATCGACCGGACACACGGTTTCTACTGCAAAGTGTTCTTCGACAACTATTGGGACACCTCGAAATGCCGATGGATCCGCAAGCCGACTTTCGTCCGCAAGAACACGACCCGCTGCGACACCATCAGCATCCCCGACTGGTACCTCATTTGTTAAAAGGTGAACTCCGTCAGAAAGCGAATTACACAGGAAACCGCGAGACAGCGGAGTGCTTCGTGGAAGCAAATGTGCGAGGACATCGAACGCGAGCGCCCAGGGGAGTCCAAGTC